GTCTGACGTTTTTAACTAAAAAAGTCATTTTTTTGATTTTTTAATTACAAAAACGTCGAGTCTGACATTTTTAATTAATAAAATCATTTTTTTTGATTTTTTAATTACAAAAACGCCAAGTCTTACGTTTTTAACCAAAAAAATCAATTTTTTTGATTTTTAATCAAATCTAACGTAAAAAAATGATTTTTTAATCATAAAAACGTCAAGTCTGACGTTTTTAATAAAAAAATCAATTTTTTTTATATTTAATTATAAAAACGTTTGATGACCCGACCCAAAATTTTCGAGTCAATCTGACAGTATAATGATTATAACTCACTAATAATTACCAAGTTACTCTAGTTAATATATATAAATAAAAATTGGGATTGCTATTTGCTAAACATCGCCTGGGTGATCATCGCCTGTTTTTTTTCAAATATGTCGTATGATGTACAGTATCTAATTTTTGATCGGTTATTATTGCAAAAGATATTTTTAAAAAAAATTTTTTTGCAAACATATTTATTCAAAATAATCTTATTTAATGAAATTTTGTTTGCAAATATTAAAATTTAAGTCACACATTTACAATTTTAAAGAAAAAAATCACCATATTTATTTTTATTGAAGTGTACAAATAAAAGAAACAATAACAATAAATAAAAAAGATAAGTAAATTACAATGATCAAGGAGAAAGATGCTAATAAAAAATGAAATAACAAAAGTAATAGAAGATGAAAGGGAGTAAAAAGGAGTAATGAAAAGTGATAGGAAACAAGACAAAAAGAAGTGATGGGAGACGAAGAGGAGTGGGAGATGAAGAGAAATGATGGGAAGATGAAGAGGAGTAAAAATTTATTAAAATTGTAAAATTTAATAAAAAATTTTCCAATAAATTTTCAATCAATTTTTTATAAAAAAAAAGATCTCTAAATTCTCGATACACTTATTAAAAAAAAACTATTTTCAATAAAATTTTTTATTAAGATTTCTAAACAAAATTTTCCATCAAAAAAAATAAAAAATTTTTCAACAAACAATTCTCTAATGAAATTCTCAATCAAAAAAAATATCCCCGATTAAAGAAAATTTTCTAACGATAATCTTCCATCAAAAAACACATTTTCCCTATTAAAAAAAATTCAAAGATTCTTACCACCTATTAAAAAAAATTCTCAAAAGTATTTCTATATCAAAAAAAAACTCCTCTCCTGTTAAAAAAAAAAAATCTTTACCAAAATTCTCTATCAAAAAAAAATCTCCCCTGTTAAAAAAATTTACACTAACGAAATGATCTATTAAAGAAAAATTCTTTAATGAAATTCTTCAATCCCCTATTAAAAAAAATTCTCTAATAAATTTCTCCGTCAAAAAATACTTTCACCTATTAAAAAAAATTCCCAAAAGAAATTCTTTATTAAGGAAAACTCTCTCCTATTAAAAAAAAATTCTTAACGAAATTCTCTATCAAAAAAAAAATCTCACTTGTAAAAAAAATCTTATTAAAAAAAAATTCTCCAATGAAATTTCTATAAATAAAAGTTTTGAACAAAATTATCAAAAAAAAAAAACTCAGAAATGTCCCTATCAATGAAAAACATTCTCTAACGAAATTTTTTATCAAAAAAAATCTTTTTATTAAAAAAAATTCTCAAAGAAATTCTATCAAACAAAGCATTTGCTTATATTAAAATAAAATTCTCTACAAAATTTGTTTATAAAAAAAAAAAATTCGTGTAAAATTTTAAAAACTACACTAAACTTAAAAACATGTGATCGACAAAATATCAACCCTGTGCTGACAAAGAAACTAATTTTTGACAAAGATAATATTATCGAGTATAGTTGAATTAAATCAAACACAGTTGGACAAAAACATCAAGCACAGACGGACAAAAATATCAAGCACAGATGGAGCACGGACAGATAAAATGTCAAGCATGGTCGGATAAATCCATCAAGCACGTACAGATAAAACCATCAAGCACATACAGATAAAACCATCAAGCACATACAGATAAAACATCAAGCACAACAGATAAAAATATCAAGCACGGACAGATGAAAATCAGGTAAAATGTCAGGCACGGTGTAACATTTTGTCAATCCATGCTTGATTTTTTCACCGGGGTTGTAATATAAATTTGGCTGGTTATTTTTTAGGAAATATCACCAATTTGTATAATGTCGTAACCTTAAATTACAAGTATGTTTATCAAATTTGTGAAACTATAAATATATGATGGTGCAAATTTATCATTCAATACACTTCGGAACATTGTTCTATAATGCTTTAAAAAAAAAAATTCTGGGAAAATTAGCTCAAAAGCCATTTAGGGGATAATTAATTTGTCAATTTTATTTAAACTCTTTAGGACAAATTAACCAAAATCTTTAAGAATATTCTATATAAATAATATTAAATAAACATAAAATCCAATAAATCTATATGTAAATATAAAAACTAAGATAAAGTATAACAAATAAATGAAAGAAAAATAGAACTTCAATAACTTCAATACATAAACTATCTGACTTCAACTTTCACAAAAAAAGAAACTTCATTCAATATTATCTTCACCATCTTGACAAATTTCATTTAGTTCTATATAAAAAAATAATTAGATATAAAATATTAATAAAATTACAAATAATAATAACTTACCTAATTCACTTAATTGAACATCTAAGCATTCTGAAACTGTATATTATGTATTTATAGTATTTAAATATTAATAAATTTAAATAAAATAATTATAGTAATTAAGGGAATACTTACTTGGATTTGCTGATGTTGATTGAATAGTATAATTAGTGTCTATTAAAAAATAAAAATAATATTAATAATGTAAAATGGATTATATGATAAAACAAAATTAATTTAATTACCTGAACTGAATTGAAAAGATGATAAATCTGAAGAATTTACTGGTTTTGGAAGATTTTTGAAATTTAAAAGTCTGCTAGTATAAATTGCTTGTGGATGCGGTTTGAAACTTTTTGATTTATCATCATTTGACCTGTTTTTGAATTTTTCTTTTCTAATTTTATCACATTCTTTTATTTGAAAATATATTTCACTATTTTGACTATTGCTACCATTTTTACTATCTTCGTCTTCACTATTTTCACTATTTTTAATATTTTTAATCTCAACATACCATTTCTTCAATAGTTGATACAATTCTTTAGTGGTTGGTCTATTTTTTATTTCAGCATCCCAACATTTTATTATCAAATCTGTAAGTAACTTTGGTATGTCTTTATAAATTGTTGGTCTAATTCCTTTACATATTTTAATTGCTAAAAATTCATTATGAGGAATATCATTAAAAGGAATTTCTTCAGAAAGAAATTCGTTCATTATTATTCCAAATGAGTAAATATCTGCTGCTTTTGTATATTGTTGTCCACGTAAAACTTCTGGTGCCATATATGGTAATACTCCATAAATTCCTTCTTCTTTAACTGTTTGCTTTATATTTGCTGGTTGACACATTCCTAAATCACTTATAAATGGTAAACCTTTAAATAATATATTGCCTGAATGAAAATCTTTGTGAACTTTTTCAGCATTATGAATATCTAAAAGTCCTCTTGCAATTTCTTGTAATTTATTAATTTTTGATTCATAATCTAAATAATTTTCAGATTTATTTAAATAATTTCTCAAATTTCCATCTTTACAATATTCTATAACCATCATATACTCTTTATTATTTGGATCTTGAGTAATTCCAAAACATTGAACAACATCAACAAGATAAATCTGAAGATGAGATTTAATCTAATTATCATCAAAAAGGAAAAATTTTATTAATAAATAAATGCAAATTACAATCTTTATATATAAGACAAAATAAGTTTAAATTACCTCATTTAAAAAATCTGAACATATATCAGAAGAATTATTCAAACTTTTCAATGCATATTTGTCATTTTGCAACCTATACCATTTTTGATTTTTAATATCCCAATGGTGAATATGTCCTTCAGGCCATTCAGCTGAATAAATCTTACCAAAACCACCTTCCGCAATATAAGTGATATTTTGAAATTTTTCAAAAGGTATCCATTCAAGATATTTTTTATTATATACAGTATTAAGTTGTGATTGTTGTATAAATTCATCAATATCTTTATTTCCACTAGTCCAATTTTTAAAGTTATCTTTAAATCTTTTAGCATTACAAGATTGACACCATTGCCATCCTATGCCAGGTTCTTTACATTCTCCACATATTCCATACGCTTGTTTTCTTTTTTCTAAATCTCCTATATAAACTACTCTTTCATCTACATTTTCTGATTCAATAGTTGAATCAATAGTAGGAATTGTAACATGGTACTTTTAATAGACAAAAAATTATTAATATTTTTAACTACAAAAATTCAATAAAATAATTATAATTATTAAAAATATTAAATTGCTATTACCTGATATTTATTTGTATCAGTATCCTCCCATAAATTTTTTGGGGTTTCATCCATATTAATTGAGCTGTATATTATAATTTTAATTTTAGTTAATATAAATAAATAACTACGTTACTCAAAATAAATTTCAGAATTATTATGGGAAAAAGAAAAAAATTATAAATTGAACGAAATTCAATAAATTGCGCACATTTGTATTACTTATTTGTATTACTATTTGTACTACTATTGTATACAAAAATTACTATTTTTGTAACAAAGAAAATTCGTAAGCAGCAGCTGATCATCATAAAAAATAAATCTAACCCGAAATGGTTAAAATGAGAAATGCGAAAGTAAAATTATTTTCGGTAATGTAGATCATATAATTTTTTTTTTTCTGTATTTTCAAGAAAATAAATAGCAATAAGTCTATAAGAGAAAAATCATTGCCAAATTATAATCAAAAATAAATTAGTTTGGAATAAAAATTTCAATTAATATATTTTTAATTAACGAAAATCAAGGTGGATACAGATTATAATTTGCACTTCACACATGAGCTTTTTTTGTCTTTACGCTAGGAAAATAAATAATAATATTGTACGATTGGTTAAATGAACCTTGTCTAGTAAATATGGTAAATGAAAGAAATGTAAGGTATTTCATGCTATTATCCGTATGAAGAAGATAATATATGATCAAACATTGAAGGATCGAAAATTTTGTTGTATATACGTAAATCAATAATAATTTTGAAAAGTTTATTATGCAATTTAAATTGAGTAAATTTTAAAACAAAAAGAAAATTTGTTTATCTTTTATCTTAAATGATATTTATTTAATTATATATTGGGAGATATATTTTTTGAATTGAGACCATATCTTCCATATTATCTTTGCACTAATCTTACTAACCTTTTGATGAGGCGTAAAAAAATTGAGAATTAATAAAGTGTGAAAATTATGGTCAAGTAGTAAATAGCTCTTGTCTTAACAGATCCATTTCTACGATAAAAATATTAATAAATGTTTTTTAAAAGGACAATATAACGGACTACAGGTTTCATGAAGATAAATACATCATATTTTGAATATTGTATTTTATAGAGAATTTTTCAAATTAATGCAAAAAATGTCAAATACTTCACACAGAACGAATAATTTGAGAACCTAAAGAGCAATAATTGGAAAGATCAGGATTTAGGAACATATGAAGTAATGCTAAAAAGTGAGAATGCTAATAGAAATTCAGTTGGTTTGATAGGTGCATGTTTTAAATTTATTTACAAAATTACATTTCTATTAACTCATATCAAGCATAAAACTATTATAACATAATTGAGTCACTTTATAGAATTCATGAAATTCATCGAGATTTTACACAGGAAATATTTTATATTCACAATATCATAATTCCTAGTATATAAGTGATTTTGGAGTTCGTGACCTGTTAAAAATTATATGGCGATTTTTCTTATGAAATACTTGTCCGAGATTTTGATTAATATTGGTGCGTCAGGTAGCTTGAATCAAAAAAATAAAATACATGTTTAGTATTAGTACTTCTAATTTAATTTATTTTATAGGTCTTGGAGGAATAGGTAAGTAACATTATTCGATAAAAGATCATTACTTTTTCAAAATATAAATTTGAATGATGAGTTACAATCAATTATGATTATAGAAAGAAGTTATTTAAATTTTTTTATACAAGTTCAACATTTGTCTCGATTTATTTACATATCTTATTATTAAAATTTGCATAGTCTCTTTTATATACGTATAAAAAGATCAAATGTTTCAAGATTCAAGAGTATTAACAATTTTTAGATTAATGTATATATTAGCTTTACATTCAAGCAATTATTAATAACAATTTGAATCTTTATTTATAAAAATGCTTTATTTTTAATATTTCATACGCTTTTCTACTTTTATCTTATAAATACAATACATACTGTATATACATAATTATGGATTTGGGAACTTTTTTTTGATAAATAGTCGGGATAATATAGAAATTTTAGAAAATTAAAAAAAAAGTAAAATCCAAATTTGATATCCGCATAGGAATGGATAGTGATCGTTTATAATAATATTTTATATTTTTATAAATATCTAAATAAAGAAACATGTATTAATTGATTTGATCTAATAAGTAGGTTTGATTTAGTTAATCTGAATATTTTGAACAGAAATTTAAATATTCTAATAAAAAATATTTTCAAAAATTCAATAAGTAATCATCCTTACATTTATCAAAGATGATATAATATGATGGGGTGGGATTTTTAAGCGGGTTACTTTTGATTATGGATAATTAAATATTTTTTTTTTTTTTTTTAAAAACATTTTAAAATGATGTCTTCAAAATTTTTGGCAGAATTATCAAGTGATTATGAAAAACTTTTTGAAACAGAATTAGGATATGATGTTATCATTTATGCTGGAGAGGAGTCAAACGTTAAAGAAATACATGCTTAATATTTTGTGTATCAGGTCTCAATATTTTCGTTCTGCATTTTCTATTAATGAATGGCTGAGAAAAAAGAAAGAAAATTTATTTTAAGAAAGCCAAATATTTCTCCTCGCTTATTTAATATCATTTTCAGGTAATGTATAAATATTAACAATGAAAATTTTATTGTATTTAATTAACACTATATATTTTATTAATAATAATAATTTATTAGATTTATATATTGTGGTTGAAAATTTTACAAGGTCCTGAAGTATTGAAACTTTTGATTGCAGTGGATGAACTTAATATTCAACAATTGATTTCTTATATTCAAGAATATTTAATTGTACATCAAACCGAATTTTTGCATCAAAATCCAACTGATATTCTTGAAACTATTTATCAATATGAAACATTTACGGATTTATGGAATTTTTGTCTTGAAAAAATTTGTGAAGAACCTAAAGTGTTATTTAATTCAGATAAATTTATTGATTTAAAGGCTCCATTATTGGAAATGTTGGTTAAACGAGATGATTTAAATATGAAAAAAATTGAGATTTGGGAAGGTTTATTAAAATGGTGTTTTGCTCAACAAAATATGATAAATGATCCAACCAAATGAAGTAAAGATGATGCTATAAAAATTGAGAGATCATTACACAGATTTATTCCTTTAATTAGATTTTATGATATTAATTCTGCAGATTTCTTTTATAAAGTTCATTGTTATAAAGAAATATTGCCTCAAGATTTAATTCATAATCTTTTAGAATTTCATATAGTTCCTAATATGAAACCTAAAACTAATGTAGCACCTTCAAGAAAGCCAAACTTAAAATTTAAACTCGATTCAGCCTAAATTGAATCAAATCATATCCCACTGTTTGCTTCATGAATTGATAGAAAAGATTCTTATAAAAAAAATGATAATCCTTATGAATTTAAGTTATTATATCATTCAAGTAGAGATGGATTTGATGCTAAATCATTTCATAGAAATTGTGACAATAAAGGAGCTACTATTTGGATGGCAAAAATTCAAGGTACAACACAATTAATTGGAGGATATAATCCATTTGATTGGAATGGAAATAATGTTGGAAAAAAAACTACGGATAGTTTTTTATTTCATATTGCAGATTAAAAAAATGCTTTTAATGCAAAATTAGGTTATGTTAATAATAACAATGCAAATTATGCTATTTATTGCAGTAGTGATCATGGCCCACACATGGGTAATTTCTATTGTAGCGGTATTAACAATTGGATATTTCATAATTATATTAATGATATTATTTATGCTTATCCTAAAATAGGAATTCCAGAATGGTTTAAAGTGGAAAAATATGAAGTATTTCAAGTAATTAAAAAATAATTACTAAATACATCTCCATTTTTTAAATAAATTCAATTGCTTTATATGTCAGAAAAGGTTATTTGATATAAATTTATGTTAAAAAGTTTTCTACAGTGGTGATTATTAGAAGAGAGTGACTGCTTAATTTTTTGATTTTTACAATACTATTAATACTATTAGAATTTTTTTTTTAAAAAAAAAAAAATTTCGTTTACATAAGAAAATTATTTCCTATACATAAAAAATGGTAATAAAATTTAAATAAATGTATGTAAAAAAATAATAAGTATTAACTGTAATTCATGTGATTCCTCTCGGAATTTTCCTTATTTCGTGATTAAATATTTATCATAAAGACGAAGAATTTATATTAAAAAAATTATCAGATAAAATGTTAAAAAATTTATCTATTTTTGAAATATGATCATACTTGTCACTTTTAAGTCGTATACGGCATTTTTTATTTAACCCATTTTTTCTTTCATTCTTTAAATCGTTTTAGTATTGCGTGTTGATAGTTACTATTATCTTAAAATCTCACATTTTTCACTCTTTTTCTATATCTTTCTTCGATTTCTTTGTGGTTGGCTGACTAGTTTTGGTTTGAAACGGGATTGTCTATTTGAAGTTTTGCTCCAGATCATCGGGTTTTACGGCATAAATTATTTCAATTAATAATATGTTCAATATGTTTCAATTACTATAATTATTATAAAGATTTATTAATAGTAATTAATCATAGTCTTGTAATCTATTTTCGTCTTTTTTTTTCAAAAAAAAAAGACTTTTTTTTGATTTTCTTCTTTCTTTCCTTTCCAAATATCTTATAAACTTTACTTTGTCTTCAATAAATAAAAATTTCGGTTTAATAAGAAATATACAAAAAAATAAAAAAAATTAAAAGAATTTTTGGGTTCAAAAAACTGAAAAAAAATAAGAAAATAAACTAAAAAAATATTTCGTTCAAAGATCGAAAAAAGTTAAATAAAATAAAGAAAGAAATTTCGATTTAAAACTTTTTTTTTTTTTTTAAACTGAAAAAAATAAAGTATTAAAATATTTAAAATATCATTATAATACCCTGAATCAAAATTCGTTGTTCCATAGGTCGTTGACAGTCTATCAGTCCTATACAACAGGAATGATGATTGATGATTCCCACAAAAAAAAAAAATTCAAATCAACCGCAGTCAGCTTAACCGGGAACCTCTTTAAAGCGTGTACTATGCTACTCTCTCCCTAAATATAAAAGTCACCTACCATTAGGAGAAATTCAAAATACGAAGCTCTCATTGCGATAATGTGATGATGCCTCAGATAATTTAATTCACAAGTTCATAGTCAATCTCTCTATGTGCTTTTTAGTTAAAAGAGGTAATTTAACATTTGCAAAAAATGATTTTTTAAATTAAGAATATTTATAATATACAATTACTTTTTTTATAATGATGCCGATTATCAAAGTTTTTAATGTTAAACTTATTTACAAAAATGTGATTTGATCGAGTAAGAATTATATAAACTTCGATTATTAATTCACTAATCGTTGATACATACTTAAAAAATTTATCATTATAATAAAAAAGAGTACACAATTAATCGATAAAAAAAAAAATGTAAAAATGATTAATGTGGTTTTGCGTCATTTATTGCAGAAAAAGTATTTATTAAAATGTTTATTCAATTTAGGTGGGAAAATCACGACTGTCTGTACGATTGTAGTTTTTGGACTATATTTATGACATAATCATAACGAGTCTAAACAAAATCATTATGGACTAGTTTAAAAAAAGCACACCGAGAAAGCTAGCGATTACTTCGTCTGTGGTTGTACATTTGCAATGTGAAGCAACTTTTGGAGTCGACTATTTTTTTTTTATAGAATTTTCGAGAAATTAATTAACGACACGAACAGAAATCATAACTTATTATGGTTAATTTATTTCTGTCATCGCATGTCTCAATGATTTCCATTTTATTTTATTCAGCAGAATCATTTGTTAATTTAGACCGTAGACACTTAGAACGAAAACATGATCTGAAGGTGCTAGTATAAGCATTTAAAACGAATTCATGTATATGAAATATTTTCCAATAATATCATGACTAGAGCGCGAGTAGGATGAATATTTTGCATAGGCAAAAAAAGGAAAGACCTATACGATTATTCTAAGTATCGCCATATTGTATAACTTTTATGTTACTAATATGATATTTCATTTTGGGTAATATCAATTTTGATTTTTTTAATAATAATAATAATAATAATAATAAATTATATGGATCAATAATTCATCTTTGAAAATAAGAATAATAATAATCACCATGCAAATTTGAGCTTGATATCTTCCAATCTTCCAAACAAAATAATATTAAAATAATATTATTAATAGTAAAGAATTAGTTGCAAATACTGAAGATAATTATTTACCCAAATCTTTACTCAAAATATTTAATTCATTTAAAAAGTTTTGATTGGTTCTGTTAAGAATTTTTAAGGTTTTGGAAATTTGTAGATTTGCCGAAATTAATTTCGCTAGACCTCTGGAGAAACTCATTTCTTTCACAACGCTAGGCGCAGTAAATTTTTTTAGTAGATATTAGCAGATTAATATACAGTAAAATCATAGATTAAATAACTTACTTGTGGTGGGAAGATTTCGAAACGTAATTGCTTTAAAATTTTACTGCGGAAGCCCAGAAACAAAATTGATCAGCTCATTCAGCTGTTATGGTTAAACAAGTACTACAAACAAATATGTTGTAATAAATTACAATAAATTAAAAAATCTCCCTTTTCATCCTTGAAAGAAAAATTATTTTTTTTTTTATTATTTCACAAAGTTTTATTATTCAAAAGTTTCATAAAATTAAAATGCAGTCTGTAAACAATTCAGTAAATAATATCCTAAATATTAGTAATCAAGTTATTCAAAATTTTAATAAAATGGATATGAAAGAAATAGAACCTACAACTCAAGTTATTAATGAAGACATATATGAAGAATATTTAAGCATTATAATTGATGAATTGGTTAGTTTTTATTTTAAGATGACAAATGAAGGAAAAGAAGAAAATATAAGAAAGCAACATATTCTTGATTTTATTAATAATCAAGAAATAAATTTACGAGAAATTTACTATTATCTTATAAATAATCAAAATGATTCAAATTCTATTTATTTACTTGGATATTTTAATTTTAATGGTATTGGAACCAACATTAATAAACAAAAAGCTCTTAAGTTATATCAAAAAGCAGTAAAATTAGAAAATAATGTAGCTCAATATAGTCTTGCTAAAATGTATTTAGATGGAGATGGTGTAAATAAGAATAATTTTATGGTTTTTGAATTATCCAAAGAATTAGCGAAAAAAGGTTATTCAGTTGGAATAAATGGGTTGGGTTATTGTTATGATTTTGGAGTTGGAACTTATGTTAATAAGGAAAAAGCAGTTGAATTATATCAAAAGGCAGCAAAGTTAGGAAATAGTATAGCTCAATATAATGTTGCTTGGATGTATGAATATGGGAAAGGAATTAAAAAAGATGTGACTCAAGCAATTTATTGGTACAAAAAATCTGCTGAACAAGGATACAAATTTTCTCAAAACAAATTAGAAGCGTTGAGTTGAAATATCTAAGCCAAATTCAATAAATTAGAGATTGCCCTAAAAATTTATTTTCTTTATATCAAACATACGGAATTTTTTTATCGTTTATTATTTATATTTTTAAACATTTTTAAAATAAAAAAAATTTTTTTTTTTTGTGACTAATTTCAAACCATCATATTTATATTTTCTTCATATATAACAAAATTTAAGACCGTTGTATTTCAAAAGGAGATATATTTAATTTAAAATAGTAAGTTTTTATTATTAACATAATTTCCTAATTTCTATTTACTATATTTCGTGACTATAGAATAAATGTATTTTGGTATATAAGAAATATATTATATATATTATCAAAATGAATAATAGATGATTAAAATTTCCGTCTCATACTGAAACATTTTATATCGTTTCAAATTTTATGTTTCTATTTAGATATTTGAATACTAAGTTGATATTTATTACTAAGAAATGGTTCCAGAAGATGTAAATCTGAAGCTTTATCATTGCAAAACTTTGGGATTGTCAGTGGTTATCATCAATTTGCATAAAAATATGTTATCCCTGCGTCACTCAAGACAATAATTCTGAAGGTTTTACAAAATCATTGTTATCATAATGCTAACATATTCTGTTAAATTGGTAATGCATAATGAATCATGATGGAAACCACATCCAAAGTCGATTACAATCAAACTCTTCGTTGGAGAATTTTATACTAAACACTGAGTGGGAGACTATACATTATCTATCATGTAACAATTAATAGAAGTAAATCATTTGACTTTTATCGTCAGATATCTTTTATAATTATACACCATTATCTTTAATAAAATTTGCTGCGAAAGCACGGGATCCAAAAATTTTTTAGTACAAACATTGAAATGATATTAGTATATCAAATATTATATTGTATTATACCATTAAATTATTTAGATTGTTACATTTTAACTAATTTCCTTGCAATGTTTATTAACCAATAGTTACCTGTTACCAAAGAAGTAAAGCTATATTTTTTAAGGATTCGCAATAACTGATTTTGGCCATAACGAGTATCTCAAATCAAAACTGTCTATAATTAAATTTATTATCTTGCGTATAGGACAATTTTTATCCAGTAAAAAATCTATTCGTCATACACATACACATGTGCGTTAGATCAAACTCAATTTGCGTTGAGTCATACAATACTTTATACTGAATGTAATAATTATGAATGATCGATACAAAGAATGTAACTTCAACAAAAATTTGGTAATTATACCATTAAAGATGACTATCGAAATGTCAAAATGAGTGTCCTGAAAAAAAACAACATAAATAAACGTTAGCTAATGCTTCGTTAAAAAAAAGCAAATAATAATAATAATAATTTTAAAGTTTCTTCAAATTCACCGTCCGGGAAGCCGTAAAGCAAATCTGAATCACATGATTGAAACTTTTATTTTTTTGCCTTTTATAAATATTTCTTATTAATTTACGTTGAAATTATACATTAAGCCGCAAAATTGATTTGCGGTAGGTAGGTAACCATTGTAACAACACATTTTCGCAAAGTGTTTGATTGATTGACGCATCATGCTACATTTTCATTTGTCAATTACGCCGCGTGACATGTATAACCTTTGCTGACTTATTTCTAAAGAAACCATATAGGGTGATTACATATCTGATATATAATAATTAGTCATAACTAAGCAATTGAATATAATTGAATATAACATTTACACTTCGTAACAATTATAACATTTAATCATAAAAATACTTTTCCATCAATATCTCCTGCACTAGTTAATCATCAGTTACTATTATCTTATCTAATTAGTGTTTCTTGCTCTCTTTTTTCCTTTAGTAGATTGTGAACCATAAATAGATGATGAAGTTTGATTTGAAGCAAATTCATATTTCATATTATCAACAAATTCTTTCAATGTGTTAAAGACTTTAGAATTAAGTCTGACTTCATCATGTCTATCCCAAACATATTTTTTCATATTTAAAAGACAACTTTGATATTGAAAAATTGGTAACTTGGGTAATTTTGCAATTATATATGTTAAGAAGATAAATTCCACAGGAGATAATTTATGATCTTGCCAGAATAATTCAACATTGACATTGATCATCTTATCAATAATTGAATAAACTTGTCTGGATAATGTCTTGAGATTTTCAGGAACTTCACGATCTTCTTTCAAATATTTAGAAATATTGGTGTGGGAGGCATTAAATTTTTCAGGTTCAGTTTCAATCATGTGTAAAGATTGTGTAATAAGTTGAAAAGGTTGAGCACGCTTATTATCCATTATTAAAGAAAGTGATGAATATTGATTATGAATTTCATGAACAAAATCAGCTAATGGACTGCCAATAGCTTGGAGCTTTTCTGCAGGGGTCAATGCAACTCCCAGTTGCACACGACTGAAGATTTCTTGTTCTTGTTGAAAAGTAAGATCATAGTATTCAACTATTAAATAATATGAAAGATTATTAGATATCTTTATAATGAACTGATTATTTTCGCAGGTCACTATCACCTGAATTATATTTCTTTAACAACTTACCACAAAAAAGCTCGGTACATTCAAACTTTTCACGTTCTGGTTCTGTTAAATAATATTTATTATTGAGATTTTTATAATAACGTTTACTTGCACAACCATCAGAAGGATTAAGATGGGGGATTTCATTATCAATGAACCTATAATTCAGATTAATAAATACGTTTTGTTGCATTTATTGTATAGAAAACTAATCATAAGCTAAAATCTTGTAAAGTTCGTATAATTACTTACTTTCTTATTGATGTGAGACGTTGTTTACCATCAATACATACACGCATTATTCTTTTACTATCCAACATTTTACAGGAGAAAATTACAGGTGGGACATAAAAGTTATTAAACAAGGAATCAATTAAGTATGACTGCCTTTTATCTGACCATACTATATCTATTATACAAATAAAGTAAATAAATAAAAGTTAAGAATATATAAATTTGTTCATTAATTATATGTACATACTTTTTTCTTATTTAAATAAAGAGAAACCATAAAATATTTACTTCATACATACCTCTTTGATAATCAGGATTCAAGTCAATCATACCATTTTGTAACCAACTATATAACTTGTAAATGGTATGAGTACCGTTTCTTGGTTTTGTGAGTGCTTCGTCCATAGTTAGTTCAATAGAAAGGAAAGAAAATATAAGTTTTGTTGTAAATAAATTGACTAACTTTTAATTATTAATTATTTTTTTTAGAAAAAAAAAATATAAAAATAAAAATAAATAGCAATTATTTATAGTAGTTTCATAGTCAAATGAAAGTTTAATAGATCTGAGTATAAATAATAGAAAAGTTTAATAAGTTGATGGTATAGATATAATTAGTAATCCCTGTGGCACTAAGTGTCGTTTATGATTTCCTTTATGAAAGTTACGGGTGATTAGCTGAGTTTATAAAAACCCTATTACCTATGAAATATATGATACTATTAAATATTTATCAAGTCTGTATACCATCAATAATCAAATGGAGCTTATTTTCATGGGAAAATTCATACTTTTTTCCCATTACGGAGTTTTGTTAGCATGAGCTACAAAATTTAGATTGTTAAGATCGATACAACTTTATGAAAAGTTTAATTCTTAGTGGTCGTGATGATTTAATAAAGTTATATATTTTGAGATGAAGAAACATTTAGAAATAACTTGGTCATATACCAAGTAATAAATTATAACCAGCAAAAAGGAATTAAGAGATTACAAACTTGACTTTAATAAAATCAAATAGACAATGAATGAAGGTATCTAAATTTATTAACCTTATGACATGGTTCATTTATCACTTATAAATACTATAATTGTACTGTATGTTGAAATTGTATCCATTTTTTTTTTAGTTTACTTAAAGGATAATTGATTTTAGATCCAACCAGTATTTCAATCTCTAGTTATTTTCAATTTTGATAATCTATGTTCCTTTGGTATTCACTTATTTTATTTTCAACTATATACATTATACCTTTTTGTTGAAGTGGACAGCATGAATTTGTGCAACATTCCAAATATAAAGCAAAATTTGATTAAATCTTAATCTCTAAATTTGTATAATTTTCCTTTTTAAAATAGAATTTGAATTATTAAATTTATTCAATTTAGAGGTTGGAACAGACCAAAAAATTTTAACCGATTAAAAACTGATGAACCGAAACCTTAATCTGACTAACTAATTGATTAATATTAAAAAAAATTCCAAATTTTTTACTCATATATTTAGCTGTAGAGAAGTATTTTAATCATAAGAACTGAAATTTCACATTTGATTAGAATTTTGTTTAAGATAATTTTAATGGATTAATCTATTTTTTCACATTTAATCGATTGAGTTCACAACCTCTAATTTAATTACACAATATAGGAACTTTTTATGCTTGAACTGATACGTATACTTCCTACATATTTATGAATATGGTCTATATAAATTAGTGTTTCGATCCGGATAAAAACTGTCATCCGAATTGAAAAAATATGTTCCGTGAATGATAAGTGGAAGAATTAACAAAAATCCGGATTTACACCGTTGCAGGTCTCTACAGTCTTTGCATGTAAGAATTATTAGAGTGAAAAGGTTTTAAATAATATTTATCTTATACACATATTGTTAACCAGAAATATATATATAGAGGTCAGGTGATTGAAAAAATTTTTCACTAGCTGTACGCATTTTTTTCAGGGCCGGAATTATGATAATGTCAGTCGGTTACTATAATAGGAAATAAAATTCTGACCAGCATTATCAAAATTATCTAAAAAAAGAAAGATTTTCATTATTTTTTTTTTAGTTCAAAATACGCGACCCTAATATATATATTTCCGGGTCCATCAGAAAATCAAAATCAAACCTAAAGGAAAAACAGAAAGTCTTAGAATCTTGGGTGTTTGGTTCAATATATATAATGATAACAATTTTATCAAACAACAAGCCTTTGATGAAGTCAAAAATTTAAGTAATAACCTGCTGAAGAACAAATGCATAACAGATAAAATTAGTTCCTATATTTTTAATGCTGTAATATTACCACGTATCGAATATAGGACACAAACGATAATACTATCAGAAAAAGATTGTGAAAAAATCATGGTTCCTTATAGAAAAAATTTTAAAAATAAATTAAAGTTAGCTTCAACTGCACCAAATATAATTATGGAATTGAATTTATTATATAATATTCGTTCAATTTTTGATAATCAATTGCAAGCTAAGGTTAATAATTTTATAATTCAAATTAATGATCAAGGAATTCTAGGAAAAATAATGGAGATTCGTTTAGTAGATATTCAAAATAAACTACTTTTACCTTTCAATCCTTTAATTAATTTTCCTTTTTCTAATAAAGATTTAATCTTTATGGGTCAACATTTGCGAAATAATTTTATTATTAATAATTTATTATTAATGAAAAGTTATAATTTTAGTATAGAATTTAATAAACACAATATTGGGAAAAATAGTACT